AGACCTTTTGTGGTTGAAGAAGCCAAAATGATGTCTGCAGCATTTCTGATCATCGCTTCAGCCATGATCCTTGGCACTGGTCAGTGAAATTCGTGGTAATTAAAGAATTGCTGAAAGATAATTTCAATGATGTGTGACTTATTTGACTTTCAGGAACTGCGCTTGCCGTTAAACCTCCACCCTCACCTCCCAATTCTACACGTGAGTTCAGCATCGATCACGTATTTTTCGTGAATCCGATCGAGCGTGCTCATGTAACCTTCCTGATGGCCATCCTCATTGCCTACATCTGTTTGATTGAAGTCAACTTTGAATTCAATGGTTAATTGGATTTTTCTTTTCATGTGACATCTAAAGAAAGGATTGTCCCTGCAGAAGCATGTCTTCAAGTCCTTCAATTTAAAGTTTCTTTAAAAAAAAAATCTAAGGGTTTCCAGAAATGTGTTCTAGGCATTTAAAATGTTCTAAGAATGATCTTCCACCGAGATACCTCGATAGAGTGAATTTATAATTGATTTTTTTCTTCCCGCAGTTTACGAAGTCCCATCCATGAATCGCGGTCCCTGGAGCGCACTCTATTTGCACAATTATTGCACGTCGTATGGATACAGAGGTGGCCTATGTTACGACCCCGTCTATTGCTGGTACTAAACACTCTAGGTATTGCTTATTCGTGTATGAGCCAGTTGAAGTGGAATAATAAAATGTGGTAACTGAAGTGAGCTTCCTTCTTCAATACGCTGACAATAAGCACGATGTAAAGTCGCTGATCGGAACACCTCGGAAAACGTTTAATACTATGCACTATAAAATTCGTACTCAACATATTTGAATAAAGAACAATGGATGGAAATCATCCCTTGATAAAACGCATGGTAACGCTACCTTCATTAAAAAAAAATGAAAATGATACTTGCCGGCTACTCAAGAAATTAACTTGTACTGACACCTTTGATTCCCATAATTGATCTGCGATGTGAAGGAAATTAATCCGATTGGCTTCTTTGATATTAACAAACACTTGAAATTTATCCAATTCAGGAAACAGAAGAGAGGGAGAGAGGGCGGGAATAGGGAAGGAGGAGAAATGAAAAAGAAACGGAAAAAAAAGCTATTGGGAAAGAAACGATAGCATAATGTTTGATTTAGAAGGGATAACCGCACATGGAGTCGCATTGGGTCATGTTGGAGACTGGCTGTGCTAGGTTAAGAAAAAAGAAGAAATGCAGGGACTGGGAAGCTCGGATTAACCGTCTCTCGAATCGATATATTTACTAGCGAACTTTGTTTGCCCTTCAGGCAAACAAACTCACTATGGTCGCGGCTTCAGTGCTCCATTACCTTATATATTGAGTAGTTATTTTATTCTTTGCGAAATGGCAAACACGTATTTAAAGTTCGTCCCCATTGAAATACGAAATTGAATGCGGACGAAAGTCTTCATTTTTCTCAAAATCATTACTTCTGTTATTTCGGGTGTGCCTAACTTGATATCTTTTCAGGTATCCCATTTTGTAAGGGTGGATAATACATTTTGCAGTACTTCCTCCTATAATATACGCTAATGTGCCATTTTTCAAAAGTAGGATTTTTTCCTGTACTGAGCCATCAAATAGGTACTTCTGAGGGAATTTTAAATATTCTGTCTATGTCTCGTTGGATCAAAAAATAATTCAGGAAAATGGGACTTAAAAAAAGTGCCCTGACGGATTTTAAAGAACATTCTTTTTTCTTCTGAAATGTAGACTCAGGGAACTCCATGCAACCCAGATTCACCTTTATACGTTTCTCCTTTTTACTGGTCGTAAACAAATATATATTTGGAAAAGCGACCCACCCAAAAGCTGTGCTCTGGGGAGACGCACAGCAAAAGTTTAATTTTTCCTTAAATGAACATCACGTCCGTTATGCGTTGGCCAGCTGCTAATTTTCTATTTCTGCCTAATTCGCTAGGACATGAAAAATTCTTTGAAATCGTAACGTCCAAAAGAAATATCCCCCCTTAATTCCAATATTTTGGAAATTTGACATTTTTCCTGAGCTCAGTGCGTCAGCAGTCACGTTCTTGCCAGGTTTAAGCTTTCCATGTGTCTCCGTTTGATTGAAGCAAAGAGAAATGTTTGAAAATATGTTCCCCAAATAGGTGTGCCGTAATGGGATATATCACCAAAGTAGAATTTCCCTGAACTCAGCATGCGAATAGCGACTTGTGTCAGTTAGTCAGCTACTGACGATCCTGTACTAACAATGAAAGTAGAATTTTTCCTTTACTCAGCTATCCATCACATTCTTCTTTAGAATGTTTAAACTTTCTGGTGCCCTGTGTTTCGCTGGATCGAGAAAATACGCCTTTTGCAATATACGTGCCCTCAGGCATTTTAACCTTAAAGTACATTCTTTTTTCTTTTTTTTTTTACCGAAATCAATCCTTAGAGAACTATATGCCCATAATGTTCCAACCTAAAATGTCCTTTTCGCTGGTGGAAAAAACATGTTTGGAAATGCCGACGCACCTAATAGCTATGCCAGGAGTGGAGGCACCATGGAAGCTTAATACTCCCTCAACTCAATAATAATAATGTCATGTCACTTATGCGTGTGCTAAGTTTCACCTTTCCATTTCTGTCCAATTCTCCACGACAAAATTTTTTTTAAACATTGCCCCTCGAAAAAATTGGGAATTGAACCCGGGCCTCCTGATTGCCGGTCAGGTGTGCTACCAATACACCACCGAACACAGGTCATCCCGTCAACCCTCTCGATGCCATCCTAATCCGTCACACTATATATCTTTAAAAACTTCTACCCCCCAAAATGTGTACCACCATGGCATGTTACTCCAAAGTCGGATTTTTCCTGAACTCTGCATCCCAAAAGTACTCCCAGTACCCAAAAAAGTACCCAAAAGTAAAAAAACTCTGCATCCCATGTGTACCAAGTTTCAGACTTCTAACTTCTCTAGAACATGGTTAGAAATAGCGTCAGTCAGTCAGTCAGTCACGATCGTCTATATATATTAGATGACAAACGAAATTAATCTGAAATAGGCACGGCAGTATATGTTGTTTCATTTCAAGGTAGTTCGTTCCGATCATATTTTAGGACGTATGTTCTAATTTGCGCATCTCATAACATCATCATTTTGACATCTACCTAAGATTCTTCTTAAGGACAATGATTCATTAATCCATGTAGGAAAAGAGTTTCTATTCACTCAAAGTCATTTTCAGTATCCATCTTCCACAGGGTGGAAAAGTAATACGGGGATCTTCCCTACCTCCCCTTTTAACCCATCCGCATCGTCTTCAGTTCAACGGAAGTGAGTTTGTTTTCACTCGCACGCATTTTCCCTCCCTGGCCTACATCATTGGGTGGCTAGCCACACAGAAACTTGAGCATGTTTCAAGCGGTAAAAGCAAAAAATATTGATATTGAACTCATGGTGCTGTAATTCATGATTTAATAATGGAAATAAATTCATGATTTACTATCATGGAATAACATATACGTCTTTTCTATAAGTATAGTGCACTTCGAACCTGTAAAGAAGTAGCTCAAGAACTTGCCACAATTTCTTCAGTTGACAGTGGGGTTTACATGCACCTTCGTTGTCCAAGTTCAGGTACTTCTTGATGGCAAAGAACTTGACCTTAGACGTGACTTAATTGAAGAATAAAATTGAAGAATTGCTTTCTTCTAAATACGTTGCGTTCCTTAAGCGACCAATAATATTGGACACAACGTTTGTACCGGGTATAGCAGTCGCATTAGGATATGGGTTGGAATATCCCCATATCCCCAAGAACTCCGGATTTGTGTAACGTTAATCATCCTCATGTGAGATATATCCAAAATCACATAATCAACTATTATTGACCTAATTTGCTCAGGAATCCCAGGATTGAGATTCTCTCTCAAACGAACAATGACAGACATGACCTGAAAGTTGGTTGTGCTTCAGTTGAATGTCAGTGAATCCCGTGGAGAGGAGAGGAGGGGGAGTTCAACGAACGTGAGAAAAACTATGGACTCTACTCACAGAATGAAACGCTCGTAGAAATATCAACTCTGATGAATAGGTCCATCGAGACGTTGCCAAAGCCTAAAAATGTAGATGTCATTTTGCGACAAAGGATAGCCATGG